TTCAAGTTGGCTGTAAACAAGAGTCTTTTCTGGATTCTGCTGTGCTTCCCCATCAAAAGATCACTTGCAGGAGAGACCTCAGACAGTCTTCTGGTCATCTGTTCCATTTGGGACCCAGAATGCTTGTACATGAAGAACAACAAATGAAAACTATACTCATTGCATGTCAGGGCTCTACTCCAACAGGATTCTAAGAACTGTGTGTGGGCTGTTGTGTAGTCATGAATCACCATACAATCCTTCACTGACCAAGACACTCATCTAGAAGAGAACACCATCACCAACAGAAATATTGCTGTCAGGAATAAGGATGAGCACTGGTCATATTCTATATCAAGGTCAAGGAACTCAAGCCAGTACTGAAGACTGTGAGAGAGCTGGTCACACCTTCCCACAACTCAGTGGCAGATTCAAACCCATACATATGGTCATTCACTAGGAACCAATTAGATCAGTAAGTTTTCTAGTAAGAAATAAATTCAAGGTGTGGTAGTGAAATGAATCTCCAGAATGATACAGAAGGATCTCTGTAACAGCGCATGCCCCAAGCAAATTGAGGGGAAGTTCCCCACTTTATAGACATTCTTAAGCTCTTGGGTTCTTCTATCAGAGCAGGACTCACCTGAGCTACAAGAGAGCCACACACCCACCCCTGTGCTCGCTTTCCTTTTCTTCTACCAGTATTTTGCCATTATCATCACTTTCCAGTACCTGCTTGGTTGTCAAGTCCTTATTCTCTATCTCTTCTTTCTCATTTGTCTTCTTACTACCACACATGCTCACAGTTACAGTTTGCAGAACAAGATATAGCAGAAATACCCATAAATCTTGCTTTTCCTTGGTAACATTAATCCAACATGTTTGTGGAAAAGATGCAATATAAATAAGTGCCAAGAGCATACAGCTTCTTCTTTCCACTTTATAGAAAAACTAACAGCAGGGTATAAGAAATCCACTCACTCTTGGAGAATTGTTTTCTGAAGAAGCATTACTAACTTTAAAAGAATATAATTTAATAGGGCACAGTCAGATTAGTCTGAATCCACAGTTCCTCCGGGTCTTCAGAAAACTCCAGGATGCTCTAGTGTGCAGCATCACATTGAAAACTGATGAACACACAGGGAATAATGAACAGCAGTTAAAGTACTTCGAATCAGGTCAATTTATTTTGAGATTGGAGGTGGGGAGAGAGTAAGAGATGAGCAATTACAAGAAAAAGCAGAAAAGCAAGCTTGCATGATGTGTAACAAATAAAGCAAATTTTTAAGCTACCGGTGGCTGAGAAGCAGTAGGTGTCACTGGCCTACTGGTAAAGACAGGAGAGAATTAAAATGCATCAATTTGAACAGTATGTCTTCTGACAGGTTTCAAGGGGTAGGAATGAAGAAAAAACTAAAGAGATGCAACAGGGCCTGTCAAACTGTCTATTCAAACTCCTTTCAACAAAAGGCATGGGGTAGGGTTTAGGACATGGGTGGCGCTGGTATAATGGGGCAGAAACAGGAATAGCTGATAGATCAGATGTCCGGTTATATGGTGATTAGTAGGAATCCAGTCCACGACTAGGAAGTCCCCCTATTATTGCAAGACCAGTAAAGGATGTAAGCTTCAGATCAGCAGAATCCACAAGAGAGGAAAGAGAAACTTAGCAAAAAAATCATAAAGCTGCCCTCTCCCTTAACCCCTTCTCCGCCTCTGTGTGGAGAAGGAGGAAAAACCCTCTTACCTGGGTGAGAATCAGGACATTTCTTTTCCTGACTTAGATAAGCACATTTATATCTCCACTATGTAAGACAGGACAGGCAGGAAACAGAAATACATGCACATAAAAGTGTGGCAACTGATAAGATAAAGGAAAAAAGGAGAATTAATATTTTGTGAAGAGATGAAAGAAGAAAAAACTGGAAAATAACAGGAAGTAGGAGGAAGACACTACAGCTCACGTATGCAAGTATGTACCACCATCTGCTAGAGAAAAGAAGGAAGCAGAGTCTGGAAAGAAAGAGAACAAAAGCAAGGAATGCAGTAAGTCAGGACTTCCAAGATGAGTAAATAGTTAGCCATTCTCTTATACATGCTGCTATACCCTCCACACGCCTCAAAGGTACTTGGTTAGTCTATATCTACTGCTATATAGATACCTTCAGGTTGGAGAGTCATCTGCTGACAGTCAGGACTAAGCAGAACCACATCAGCTTAAGCAGATCAGTTCTAGGTAGCCTGAGTTAGTCTATCAGAGCGTATCACCCATCAGAGACTTTCAACTGTAAAATTTCAGGTTTCTCACACTTAACACTTGACCTTATTTCATGTCCTTCACCTTAAGAGACTGGCCATGGTGAATGTAAATCAGTTTGAATTAGATTCTATTAAAACAACATGGCTTTTTCCCTGACAGTTAGGTAGGTTTACAAGCTAAGAGAGGCAAACTGCACATCCATTTCTTTTCTCCTTTTCATATAGTGCTTTTAGACACTTGACAGAAATGATGGCAAGCTCAATGCCAACAACACCAACAGGTATACAAGTTATCTGAAGTCCTACTTTAGGTATCATCTGCTTTTGTTAATTCAGCTCTGGTGAGGTGATTCTATGAGAGTGACTGACAGTTTTTATTCTGCTTTGTTGAAATTTTAGGGAACTGAGCTTTTCTGTGCACTAAAAGCACTGATTTTTGTGAGGAAATAAACGAGGGAAGGTGAGAAGACGAAAGTAATGCATTTCTGTACCACCAAGGAGCAAAGTAATGCACCTTTACTGATCTGATCCCTGCACCTGTTCTGACGCTCCCAATACAGAGGGATTTCATTAGTGACTGAAAACCAACAGGGGCTAAACAATCCCACTGCTTTGCTGTTGCTCTGCAAAGGCATGCCACCTGAAGAGATTTTTCCCTGTTTTTCACAATTAGCAACAGTAGAAATGTAAAATATAGTAGTCCAGGAATTGCACACATGCTTCAGGATTACAACTCCAAAAACCCTTTTCTAAAACCCTGGCGCATATTCTTTACAGAAGCACACCACTGCACATAAAAACAGATGCGGTATTCCTCTTGGCTGCATAAAATTGAAACCCAGCAAAACCAGTGATATTTTTAGAGTGCAAGTTTGAAGCCTTGAAGAGATTTAAGACTGTTCAAAACATAAGTTGGCTTAGAAAAGCCCCACAGAGATCTATGAGGACTCTAGATCATGTTCCTGTTAAAAAGTTTTAGCACAGAACTGGTTTAATTGAAGGTATGCAAAGACAGCATTTAAAATAAAAAAATACCCACCCACTTTTCTTTATCACAGGAGTTTCCCGTGCCCTGAACAAATCCAGGGCTGTTTTTTGCCTTCCAGTTTCTCCCTTCCTCCCTCCCGCAGCTTCCTACCAGCTGAGATTCTGCAGCTGCAGCAACAACAGTCCATCTGTGACAGTGCAATCACCTCGGTGGGATGGCTCCTACCAATTCACTGGCTTCCTTATGTTTTAATAGAGGTAACAAAGTGTGATGAGGCTTCACCCCTCTTTTCCTTTTTTTAAACTGAAAAGATACTAATGAATATTCATTACTAGTCTTCTACCAAGGGCCAAAATTTTATTTAAAGGACTGGAAGGGAATTGCAAATTAGGCTAATACAACGGGAGATTTTGACTCAGTTCTCTGGTCTCAAAATAGAGCTAAAGAGTAAGATTTTTTGCGGAAAAGAGACTTGATGACAGTAAATAAAAAAAAACTCAGCCCAAAGCCGCCCTGCTCCTCATGGCCGTGACTCTGCTGCCCACCGCAGCACCACTGCTAGAGGGCCGCACTGTAACTCATGGGTTTATTGTGCCACCGGGGAACTCGCTCACTGATGCGGATCTCCTACCCACATTTTTAAGTCCAGCACCAGGCAGGCCACATCCTGAGCCAAGGCTTAGCAAAACCTGGCCCTGGAAACGCTATGCACAGGCTGTTCCACGCTCCCCAGCCAGCGCTGCTGCCGGGACGCTTTGCAGCTGGTGCCCAGCACACGCTGCCCCCGGCTTCCCGGAGCCCATCCATTTTTTCGGGAGACCACAGGAAACTTGCATTTCAATACCCATCACCCAGCAGATAAGCTTCCACAGGGATATAAATGGGATTGCCTTTTTTTCCTGCTCTGGAGAAGCCAAGAGGCAAACAAACCCTTTCACACTTTCCCAGCTGAGAGCAATCCCTGGGCTGACCGCGGGACAATACTCGCCCACCGCGGAGGCTGCGGCCCGGGCCCGCTGGGGCTGGGCGGGAGTCACAGAATCACAGAGTTGTTACGGTTGGAAGGGACCTCTGAAGATCATCTAGTCCAACCCCACTGCCAAGGCAGGATCACCTAGAGCAAGTAGGTTGTTGAATGACTCCAGACAGGGAGACTCCACGACCTCCCTGGGCAGCCTGTTCCAGTGCTCTGCCACCCTCTATGTAAAGAAGTTCTTCCACATGTTGAGGTGGAATTTCTTGTGTTTTAAGTTTATGGCCATTGCTCCTCACCCTGTCGCTGGGCATCTCTGAAAAGAGCCTGGCACCATCGTCTCGGCGCCTGCCTTTGAGATATTTATATGCATTAATGAGATTCTCCCTCAGTCTACTCTAAACAGGCCCAGCTCCCGCCGTCTCTTAAGAGAGATGCTCTAGCTCCCTGATCATCTCTGTGGCCCTCCACTGGACCGTCTCCAGCAGCTCCTTGTCTTTCTTGTACAGAGGAGCCCACAAGCAGACAAAGTAGCCCAGAACTGGACACAACTCACGAGTCGGCTCCGGGGAGCGGAGCAGCAGCGGGCGCACGGGCACACGCACAGCCCGACGGACGGACGGACGGACGGACGTGCGCACACGCACGCACCCGCACACAGCCGCACACGTGCGCGCACACACGGCCGCGCCCGGGGAAGCGCCGGCTCCGCCGACCCGCTCCCGCCCCCCGCCGCAACTCCCCCGGTGCAGGGGCCGGGGGGGTCACCGGGGGTCCCGGTTCCTTCCCTCCCATACTCACTTTCGTCCTGCCGTTGATTTTGTAGTTGCCCAGCTTGCCGTTGCAGTGCCGGATGAGATCGTCCATGCTGTTCATGAGGAGCCGGATGGTCTGGCAGCCCGGCTCCTTGCCCTCCACCCAGGTGATCTTGTCCCCGCGGATGTCCTTGGAGGAGTCGCTCTTCTGGCTGACGAGCTGCCCGTCGGTGAAGCGGCCGGTGTGGTGGAGGGCCCGCACCTCCTCGGCCACCAGCCCGCCCAGCTCCTTGCCGAGGAAGTCGTCCACCACGCAGATGCCGTGCTTGTTCATGCAGGGCACGATGTACTCCAGCGCCAGCCGCTGCGGCACCAGCGACTTCGTCTGCCCGTTGGGGCGCAGCGCGGCCCCGCCGGGCCCCGCCTGCACGCCGCCCGGGTACAGGTTCGACTTGTCCCGGTACAGCAGCACCGCCTCCCCGGAGGGCGACGGGGACTGGGCCGCAGCCGGGGCCTCTGCCTCACCGCTGGCAGCTGCGGCAGCGGCGACGTGGTTGTTGGTCAGCGGGGCGGCCTCGGCGGGGGCGTCCGGGGACGACGGCGCTGCGCCCTTGCCGGCCCCGGCCCGGCCGCTGCCGCTCGCCGCAGCCCCGCC